TTCTAGAATATTTTGATGTAAAGTAAGAAAGTAGAGATAATAACAATAACTATTTATTATATTTGAATGTTATTTATTTCAAATATATAGCATGAAAAGTAAATAAATATATTATTCAGTAATAAGTTATTATAATTTTTAATACTTTATTCATTTTAATTAAATTGTTATATTGATATTTATACCAACTATGGCACATAATTATATAAAAAATATTTTCAACCAATTATTTAAACTTTTTACCATATATAAAATTACTCAATTAAATGAATAATTATTTAAAAAACTAACTGTATTTTACTTTATTGTTATTTATGATATATATTGAATTTTGATTTCAAAAAAAATTTTTGATATTACTTTTATTAATATTCAATTTATTTGAAAAAATGAACAATTACTTAAAAATTTTAAATTATGCTCAAAAAATAAAGTAATTTCATAAATACAATACATCAATCCCTTTTATCATTTTTATTATAACACATATTTTATAAATTAGTACTAATACTCATAACTTTTATATATTATGATTTAATATTTATTTCAATTTTGAAAAAAAATACAATCTGAACAAATTATATTGTTTAATTTTCATTATTTATCATAAAATAATTCATGTTTATTTTGTAGTTCCTCTTTTCTTTCTTTTTAATATATAAAGTATTTTTGAATATTACATTATTTGTATAGTTAATCATTATTTTCAACTCTGTTGCTTCATTTATTTTGTTTATTAATATGTATTTTTAAATATAAATAATGTATAAATAAATATAAAATGTAATTTTTGACTTAGGTCAAATGTTAGTTTTAATAATCAGTTGTTGAATAAATACATGGTAATGTTATAAATAATAAAAATATTATTATTCTTTGTAGTTAAATTTAAAATATTAAATTGTTTAAGTGTATTACATTTATTTACTAAATTGTTATAATATGTGATAATTTATTCTTATACTCTTCAATTTCAATACATGTTATAATAAATTTTTTTTATATTCGAGTTTAATAGTATTATTTGTTAATATCTTGTTTTTATAATACTAATCTTATTGGTATTGTTTATTTTTATTAATTTGATTAAACAGATATATCAACTGCTTTAGAACTATTATTGTTTTAAAATATAATAAAATAAATCATAGTACTAATTAATTTATTATATTTATTTTATTTATTGGTATAAAAATAAATTATAGTGAATTTTGTTTAAATAGTAATTATTAATGATTGAATGAGGAATAAAAAGATAAATTGGTTGTTGATAACAAAAATTATACATGTTTTATTATAACTATCATATATAAATTATTATAAATTTCTATATTATTAGTATAAGAATATATGTTGTTATTTAACTATACTATAATGAATTGATATTTCATTAATGTATATCACTATTTTAGTGAGTTTTAATTTATATAATTTCTAAGATGTTATGATTAATACTTTGGTAATTTATATTGAATAATGAACTTTATTATTTCTCATTATTAATTAAACTGTTATTTAATTTTCTTTTCTATTATAACTCATTCCTAAACTAAATAAATTATATTGTACTAATTAAAACTCACTCAAATAATCTAATATTTAAAAGACAATAGAATAAAATAGTTCTGGTCATAGTTTAATTACTTTTTAATATAAGAAATATTTGCTTAACAAAAATGATTAATTTCTTATATTGAACAAATCAATAAGAATTCTTTATTTTATTATTTTATATTAGCATTACTTTTCTATCTTGGTATTAATCACAAAGTAACGTTTTATTAAAAGTTTTATGAAGAATTTACTATTATGTTATTGTTCATTTAAAAAATATTTTAAATTTATTTTACATATTTTTATTTATTTGTTTCAACAATAATCATTTTTTATTCTATTACATTAGTTAGAGTTAAATAAAAAGATTCTCTTATAGTAGAATAATAATCAAAAATATAATTCATTAATCAATAAAATCTTTTGATTACTAAAACTATATCATTTAATAATTAACCTCTCTATTAAGATGCAACATTCCTCTTTTTTGACTTTGCATTACTAATTGTTTAAGTTGAAACCTTATCTTCTTAGTATAGAATAATTCTTTATGAAATTGATCCAACTATATTTTTAAATGTTTTCTCTGTTTAAATAAGGCTACAAAAAAGATGGTATAACTGATAATAATTTTATGAATTGTAAAGAATTAGACTAACTAAAATAAATGATAAAAAAAAAAATAAATATCTCAACAATATTTTCAACTTCAAAAGAATACAAGTTTAAAAATTATTACAAACATATTTGAAAATTTATATAAAGTTTATATTTCTTATTAAAAAAGGTATGAATCATAAAAGTATATTCTCATTTGATTTTTATGTAAACGTTGACATAATTACTGGGCATTTGATACATCTCTTCATATTAAAAGTTTTAAATCTACTTTGGTTGTAGAACTTATCACAATAAATGACGTGTTAAAAAAAACCTAAGGAAATTCTTAAAAAGAAGAATTAAATTCCTTTAAACTGAATAGGAATGACTCAACATTAAATGAACATTAAACATCTTCTGTAAAACCAGGTCAATCAGTATAAAAATACAATACACCACAATATTGATACCGAATAACCATACTGAACCACCAAAAGAAGTGAAAAATAGCATAATGAGAGATAAAGCTCCAAAACAGATAACGTTTAACAACAAAAAGTTAAGAGAAATTTTTTTTCGTAATACAAACACCCATAATGGAATAACAAAAAATAACCCACTTGAAAGAAGGTCAAGAAAAGCTAAATGATATGGATTAAGTGCTGGACCTAATTTAGCATACCAATCCCGTTTAACCATCCAAATACTTTTTGTAGATAGTTTAAAGAATAATCGAATTGCAAGAACACACTTTATTACTGCCAAAAATACACAAACGATTGGAACAACAATTTGGTATATTTGTTTTAATAAACCAACGACATATTCTTGCTCTTCAGCACGATCAATCTTTTTTTGGTCATAAACAGAAAAAGTATCTTTATCATCGTAGCTTTGAACAGAATACATCAGGTCTAACAGTATTTGAGTTCAGTAATAATTTTTATTTTCTTCTTAAGATTTCTTATTTTTATAATAAAATTTACTATTGATTATTTTAAATTAAAATACAATTTTTTGTTGTTTTACTTAAAAATTTTTTAATAATAATAAGACTATCATTCAATAAAAAAGGCTTTATTTTGTTAGTACTAAATCAACAATTCGTTGTTAGATTAGTTTTATTAAAAGTATAATGAATTTTGTCTTTTAACTTAACACTACTAGTTTACTTCTTTCATATAAGTAGTATTTTAAATATGAATGTTCAAAAAAAAAAAAGAAAAAAATAACTAACAAACCAAAAATCAAATTTTATTTTAGATCTTAACTAGAAATATTATTTTATTAATTCATAATATGAACGCTCTTTTTGTCATTATGGTTATAATGTGTGTTCAAGCAAAAACAAATGAAACTGAAGCACTGACTGGAGTTAAGGTAGTCAAAGATTTAACTCTTCCACCAGCTTTGATTAAATCAAAGCAATTAGTTGTCAAAAGATTAGAAGAAAAATTAAAGTTAACTTCAGCTCAAGCAGAGTCAATGGCTGAAAGAATTATGTCTTCTGTTGATGAAAACTCTATTAATCCATCTATTGAACGTGCAAAAGTTGTTGCCAAGAAAGTTAAAAAAGCTGCTAAAATTACTAAAAAATATACTAAAGGAACACCTTGTGGAGATGAGTTGGTTAACTTAGCAAAAATGTACGACAATAAAATTCAAATTCAACAATTTGATGTTAATAAATTAAACTCAATGATCAATGATGCTATTAAGAAGATTACTGCTAAAAAGAAATTAAAAGAAGTTAAATGCCTATTAAAAAAGAGTGGAGTTAAAGGTTCTCTTAATGTTAAGAAACCAGAATCAAAATTAAATACCCCTATAAAACCAACTCTTGCTGAACAATATCCAGAAATTGCTAAATTAATTCCTGAAACAAAATCACCAATAGATTTCAAAGTCAAAGTAAACGCTAAACAAATGTTACAAAATAAGCTTATTGACCAAATCTAATCATTCTATTTCTTTTGTTTTGGCTTATTTTTATTCTTTCAATTCATATGATTAAAAGAAATTAAAATGATAAATAACTGTAGTTATATAAATTAATAATCATTTTCTTTTTCTATCTATTATTTATATTAAAAAATTAAATATTAAAGAAATAAAAAAAGTAACGATAAGATAGTGAGATTTAAGTTAGTAAATGAAGACAAGAAGAGCAAGACAAATCATAACAACAATACTAGATGCACCATTAGCAGTTGTTTGTTTAATTGTTTCAGTTTTAGTTGTACCATTTTGGTAATTAGTTTGAATTAATGTTTCATTTGCTTTAACAGTTTCTTTTGGTTGTTTAATATCACACACAAAAGCACAGGCTTCTTCAACAGTTTGTAATTTATCATCGACATTTTCATACATTGTTCTCCATTGATGATGTGCTGCAAGACACATGCATTTTTGTTCTGGAATAATTGGGTTATCACAATAATCCTCATCTTCAACTACTTTTTGTTTACAGAGGAAGCATTGTGCTGCAGTAGAATTCTTGCAACTTTCAAAGTTAAAAAGGCGTGTTTTTTGTTTTGGAACATAATTAATATTAACTTTTACTCCAATAATTTCATCTGCAACTTTATTTGCAAATCTCTTAGATTGTCTAGAGAGACTTTTACCTTCTCCAAAACATACAAATAACATGATAATTAAACAATAAATCATTCTCATTGTTCTAATATAATACTATAATTTTTTCTAAGTTCCTTTTTCTATTTTTTTACTCAACACTTTTTAATAGTAATTTTTGTTATTTGTTTTTATTATTCCAAAAAGAAAAAAATTGAAGAATTTTAATTGAATAACAAAATAAATTTATCGATAGTATTGTTTTTTTGCTTTATCATAAATATACTTATCTAACTCAGCCTGGACCTCAGCACATATATTTGCCTCAGTGTTTTTTAAAAATAAATGACGGTCATCAACTTCTTCGTATTGAATGTCTTTATTTTTTGCTATCTTTCTTGCCAATGCTAATAAATGAGCTTCTTTTACTTCAAATAACATTCCACTTGATTCTTCATAACAACGACGTGTTGATAGTTCTATTGACATTAATTTTCATCTTTAAAAAGTTTAAAAATTTAAAAGAACTTTAAACAAAAACTTAAAATTCTTTTTCAATAAAGACAATGAAAAAGTATCTATTTATAAAAGAAATAATTTAAAATAAAAATGCCTTTGTTATTTAGTTATGATTTAATCTATTACTTTAAACAATAATATACTTATTATAACCTCTTATTATAATCACTACTTAAGTTTTAGTGAATAAAACTACTAATGTCATAACTTCTTAATGATGTACGACTATTTATTGTTTGTGTATTATATTTATAACTGTTAAAAACCTTTATAATAATAATAACTTTTCAATTTTAGAATTAATATATATTAAAAGTTTAGGAATATTAATTTAAAAATTTATTAAATAATTATTATTATTCATTTTAATTACTTCTTTATCTTTTATTTGTTTATTTATTTTATAAATTTTATACTTCTTTTACTCCATTTCTCATAA